TATATCTCCTTAATCTCTCAGTGTAATGTAACTTCATATCGACACATGTGATACAAATAAGCTGGATTGGGTCAGGTTGGGAAACCTAGTGAGTATATAGGGTTTTCAACCTACAATAATATAATTATTATGTTTAATCATCAAACAATTAACCCAATTACCCATCCTCGTTATCTTATTTACTCTTAAGGATCTACCCTAAGAATCAGCTATTTCTTGTTCATTCATTCCTAAGGATCATCCTAAGGAATCGGCACGAAATCCATCGTTGCCAGGGTTTACTCAACAGGCACTAAGTCGCATAGTCGTCAGGGTTTATACAACAGGGTACATCTGGTGAACACGCAGTTCAAAACATTTGGTGAACACTTCGTTCAAAACATATGGTGAACACTTAGTTCAAAAAATACCGTGAACACTTAGTTCAAAACATATCGTGAACACTTAGTTCAAAAATACCTAGTGAATACGTAGTTCAAAAACACCTACAACTTACGAGCCTGCTAGTGTTCCACTGGACTGTCAAGAATACTCTGTGGTCGTCATCTATACTCCGCTAGATGGCTAGATCATCTTAAACATTGATGCCTCTCATCATTTTATCACACATCAATTATTTCATCTACCCATGTTTTACCCAACATTTTTGTAGATATAAAATACATATACAGTTTAAATCATTTAAAACATGTATAAATCGTTCATCCCTTATAGATATCAAGAACACAGATAATATGCACACATAGCAGGTAATTTATATTAAATCTTCATATCTATGTGTAAGATGAAAGTAACTATGCACTCACTTGAAAAGGTGGTGACTCGGCACTCGGACAACACTTCGTTACTCTTAAAACAATTTCCTTCGACATAACCTAGTATCATTACCACTAGGGTTTAGTCTAATATTCACTGAGACAAATTAATAGTCTAGCTATTATTACTATTATATAAGCGTTAAACAATACTCTTCACCCACTATGTACAGACAGGGGCCAGACATAAAACACCGGAGGGCAGAACCATTTTGGCATATAGCACTTCTGAAATCCAACAACCCTATGCGGCCTTTTAAACCAGATTCCCCGTACCACGAGTGGTTAAAAAGATATTATAACGACACTTATATAACCCATAATAATATCCTAAATAATTATTATAAAGTCCTAATAACGTTACTATAATTAAATAAAAGCTATATTAAAAATAGCGTAGGCGTAACTCACTTACAGCGGGTTTTCTCGAAAACCAGGCTTCGCTTGGAGCAGCGTTTCTAAACCGAAAGGCTCTTTTCTCGGGGCTTCGGGAGCCTCGGGGCTTTCTTCGGGTGCTAGGGGTTTACCTAGGCTTAGAGGGGGGTTTGGGGGGCTAGAAGAGAGTTTGGAGAGAGAGAGAAGAGGTTGGAATGGTGTGAAGAATGATGGAACCCGACACCTCTATTTATAGGATGAAATCCTGCTCTACTCGTCGAGTAGGAGGTCCTACTTGTCGAGTCCATGGCCAGGTGTCACCATCTGGTGGCTTGCCTTGGGGAGAAAGCCTTGGCCCATATTCAGCCACGTCACCCGATTTCGCACAGCACCCTGCCGACTTCTAAACCCCGTAACTTTCGCATACGAGCTCAGTTTTCGAAGTTATTTATATTCACGCTTAGGTAAAAACAAGATCTACAACTTTCATTTAGACTCCGTCGGCTAATTCTCGACCTATCTTAAATTTAACAGTAGGAGGAGATTAGACTGTTAAGTGACCGCGAAGAATTCGTAACTCCTTCATACGGACTCCGTTTTCATCTGTCTTTTTATCGTTGAGTTCCTATTAATGAGATCTTCAACTCTCATTTAGGTTGCATAGGCCAAAAACCGCTCGAAATAAAATTCGAGTTTCGGGCCGTGCACTGTTATGTCAAATCTTAGAAAATTCATAACTTCCTCATACAAAGTCAGATTTGGGCGTTTTTTTTTTGTATGTTCTCAGTTTAACATATACTACAACTTTTGTTTAGATCACTAAGACTAAAAAGTCCTCTATCGTAAATTCACTATTTACGTCTCCCGGTGTCGTGTCGGTTTTGCAATAAAACTTCGACGGGCCATAACTTCTTTATTATAACTCGGATTTCGGCGTTCTTTATATGTACGGAACCCTTGTGACATATACTGTAACTTGGTTAAGATTAATCCTTCTAAATAATCTTCCATCAAAAAGTCATTTTTAACGCTCATTGTCTCTAAATTGACTAGCCCGAATCTGCGGGCGTTACATTACTTTTGATTAAACTAATCAAAAGTCCATACACTCTTTCTTTCTCTCAATTTTCGGTCATGTTTCACAAAAAGAAGACAAAAGTTTTATATTTTATAAACCAAGTTTATAAAATATAAACTTTAACTTTTTGGTAAAAGACAAAAGAATTTATTTAGTACAAAATATTGTACATGGCTTATTAATTCATACCACATGAGCTATATAATGTTACTTGCTAATGAAAATTATTATTTCCAAGAAATAAATAATTTCCAATTTAATTATAAAAGTTTATTGAATATTTATTAAAATCAATTTCTAATAAATAATTAATTATATTAAGTTGTTGCTAGTGTGACTCATTGGTATCATATGTTAAATAGCAATATCAGTTTAATATGATTCTTAAGCATACAAGATCATTCAGGGCCTGTTACTCACGATATATGTATGTGGATAGGAGATTTGATTGCTCAGTGTTAGAGTTGAGATCTTGTGTGGATGCATTGTATATATGATAGAATATGTGATATACTGGGGAACTCACTAAGCTTTATGCTTACAGTTTTGGATTAAATATTTTGCAAGTGATTCGTGAGAAAAGCACGTCGGGACTATACATACGCATCGAAGATGTTCATTTCCGCAGTTTGTAAGCTTAACTCTAATATTATATGGTTTTAATCAAATGAATGCTACTTGACGGTTTTTGAAACAAAGGTTTTAATTGGTTATTATATTTTAAAATTGATATTTTTTTTTCGGGTTGTTACATAAAGCCTCAAGAAAACATTAGTTGGTTAAAGATTGGAGGCAATCCTACGAGGGCTTTAGCGGTGAAGGTGGTTCTAGGCTAATTATGCATATGCGAGAAGGGATTTCACATGTTGGGTTAAAAGAACTACTTTGATACTTCGAGTTTGGTAGATGGGACTGGCTATTTATTGTAAAGTTTTAGATGATCAAACTCTTGATCCAATTCTCTTTCCAAGTCAGTCGATAATTGTCAAGCCACAGTTATTTTTCCCCTGACCGCGTCCAAATGTTAGTCTTAGTTCTTCCATTGTTCCATGAAAAATGGGAAGATTAATTCCATCCAAATATAAGATCACTTATTTGAAATTCAGAGATTTGGTTAGGACCTCCAAACATAAAAGAACTCGTTCATGCCCGTACAATTCGTATATTCATTTATCCCAAAACAACTATATGCCATATAATTTCACTCACAATGGGGAGCAGAGAACGACTAATTCGGCCAACTTGAAATCTTAAAAACTATTAAAATGGGCAACATTGTTGGCTTCCAAATGGCAGGTGCATACCAAATTCTTAGGAGTATAATCCAAGGTGAAGGAAAAGTCAGTGTTCCCTAATAAAGAGTCTTGTCCATAAATATAAGAGGCGCATGTTTGTGTGTCCTTTTCAAATCAGGAGTGAACACCAAATCAATTTTATGAGTGTTCAAGATACTTAAATGAAGAATACCTCAAACAATCTATTTAATCAAATTCAGGAGTTGGTAGATTTTGATACAATTGTGATTAAGTTAAGTCTAGAGGCAAATCTATTGTCTTATATAGTTTTGAGATTCTATGTATATTAAAAAACACGATACACAAAAAATATATATAAGATGATAAATCAAATATCCTCCTATCTTTTATTTCTACGGATCTTCCTGCTTGTTATATCAAAACAAATATCAAAATCAAAAGAATGGATTATCTATGGCTCCTTGCTACTTATTGGGCATTGAGACAGATCTTCTCTGTGAGATTATCTTTTGAGTCTTAAAGCTTCAAGTGATAGGTTTGGCACTTCATGCAGAAGTTTAATGAAGTCACTCAGGTGCAAGGAAGTCATATACTCCTCTAATCTGTGATTCTACTATTCTAGTGTTGCTTTTAATCCTTTCATTCTGGAAAGTTGAGTACACTAGACAAGTCGTTGGCATATAGATACCTGTCACAACTTTAGTTTTTCCCTACCTAGGGATCATTAAAGATCACCATTGACTGCCCTAGTGGACGATTTGCAATCGCATGAAACTGTAAAGAAAGCATGGGTGATTGATTGTGTTTTTGTTTTATTGGCAAATCAAACCGGAGATCATGGAAAAAAGGGTACTGGAATTTGATGCTTTGAGAATTGATATGGTTGTTTGGGTTAATGTTTCTTCTTCTACAAATCGCATGAAACAAAAAATCTTCCCCTTTAAATTCGAAGAAATCGTTTGGTGATCTTTTCTAATGTCTTTATTAATTGTGTTTTTGCTTTTATATAATCCGTCCACTGTTCAAAAAATACGACGTATAAACCTTTTAAGCTTTTTATTTCAATAGAAAATAAAAAGTTTCCAAAACCCCATTATAATCTATTGAAAAAAAACATATCCACCAATCTGGTAAAATGCCTAACAACACAAAATCTTTAATCCCACTTTGGGTAATAGATCCAAAAACACAAACAGCTTCAAAACCCCACATACGTTTAAACCAGATTATTAGTTAATCATCAAATTTAGAAAAACCCACGATAATTAACATCAAATTAAGCAAACCCCACGATAATGGAAGATCATAACAGTGAAAGTGTGAAACTAATCTTATTTATACCAAGCATAAAGTCAACGAAACCACCCACACACATAGATAAACCCTAAGAACAACCACCATGAAAACGATTAAAGATCACACAGGAAAGGAAAAATCAGAAAGATATAGAAACTCATCCAGTCTGATACAGATCCATCAGAGTTGACCGCAATCGGCGACGACCACCGGCTTAGAGGTGCTTCCGCTGCCAGATCCAACCTTCTCGATCGCCTTCACAACATCCATTCCTTCAACGACCCTTCCGAACACGACGTGCTTGCCGTCGAGCCACTCGGTTTTAGCGGTGCAGATGAAAAACTGCGATCCGTTGGTGTTGGGACCGGCGTTGGCCATGGAGAGGATACCTGGACCGGTGTGCTTCTTGATGAAGTTCTCATCGGCGAACTTGTTTCCGTAGATTGATTCGCCGCCGGTTCCATTTCCTCTGGTGAAGTCACCTCCCTGGCACATGAAGTTAGGGATCACACGGTGGAAGCAGGATCCCTTGAAATGCAAGGGCTTGCCGGAGGTACCTTTTCCCTTCTCACCGGTGCACAGAGCGCGGAAGTTCTCGGCGGTTCTGGGAGTGGTATCGGCATACAGCTCCATGACGATCCTCCCGGCGGGGGCACCACCGACGGTCATGTCAAAGAAAACCATAGGGTTAGCCATTAATGGATTTTTGGTAAAGATTATCCTCACACTATTTCCCAGAGTCAAAAACAGATGCCGTTTAGGGTTTAGGGGTTGAAGTCGTCTGAGGTTATATAGTGCGCTCGACGATTGATTTTTTATGCAACACTCATCTATGCCGTTGAAAGTTACACGTGTCGTGAGCTAAAGGTGTCGTGGTGAACTAGGGTTAGATGACACTTAACCATGGTTTGTTATGTCACGAACGAATCACGTGGTATATGCTGCCTAAATATTCCCAATATTTAAAAAAATAAAAATAAAAAAGAGTTTATTTGTGTAGACTCAAATTAAAGTGAAGATGGAAAACGATTTAGGTGCTGTTTGTTTTTTCGAAGCGAAAATTCGTAAAGTCTGCGGATCACCTTTGCAATCCTCTGTAGCAGAAGAGGTGGAACAAACGGCTGCAGCCCATAATAAGAAGCATGTTTGTTTTTTAACATCTGCAGACTGCTGCAGTAAACTGAACTTTAAATAAACTAATTTTATAAACTGAAAATAGTTTTCAACACTAAAATTTAAATAATTCTAGTCTTAAAACATTGAAAAAATACTAAAAATAACATGTAAAAAAACAAAAATATAAAACTTTTTAAAAAAACTTACAAAAATATAAAAGAAGCTAACAGCTTTATTCTAGAAAAAAAACTAATTTTAAAAAACATAAAAAAGAAAATAATAAAAAAATTAAGAAAGAATTGCAAACGATGTCTACAAAGTTCGTAAAAAATTACACACGTTAATAAAGATGAAATTGAAATTGAAACTGAAAATATTATTAACAGAAACGGTAAAAAAATTAAAAAAATTAAAGTTTTTTTTTAAAATTAAGTTAAAAAAATTTGTGGAAACTATAATAAGAAATTGTATCAAATCTGTAAATAAAAGTTTTAAAAAAAAAAAAAGTTATACCAACATTCTAAAAAAAAACAATTTAAAAAAATGAAAGTTGAAGAGGTTTGAAGAGGCAAGTCAAGTGCTGCGCCACGCAGCACACGCGCAGAGGTTTTGCAGTCTGAAGTCTTCCAAAAAAACAAACTGTTGCGAGAGGGAAAGTGTTGCGCTTGTGCTGCCGCCGCGCAGCAGGAACAGAAGTGGTTTGAAGAGGTTTTCTAAAAAAAACAAACAGCACCTTAATGTTTAGGCCGAAAGGTATATAAGTCACTGAGCAACTCGCGACGAAGTTATAGGAAGGCTACGGTCTTTCTTAGGTCATCTCCAATACATCGAACTCATATGTGTGCAATGGATTGACACATTTACATTTTACTCCTCTACAAACTTTATCTATTAAACTTACATTCATTAAACTCTATACAATTTAATGGATTGGCACATCATTATCATTTTCTATTATTTAGTGTAATTTAAAAAAAAAAAAATTAACATGAAATTAAAAATACAAAAACTACACTTAAAATTACATTAATAAAATTTTCAAATTTCAAATAAAAAATAATTTATATATATATCTTATATATATATATATATTATATATATATATATATATAATATATATATATATATGTGGTGTGTGTGTGAGAGAGAGAGAGAGAGAGAGAGAGAGTATAGAGTTTAATGAGGATTCAACTCTCCATTCTATTGCATCCTAATCATTTTTCCAAAATAGGAATTTGAGTTTAATGAGATTACCCCATTAAACTCATTAGAGATGGTCTATCATTATGGTTTATGGTGTTCGTGGTATGTGTTAGCGATGGGTTGGCTATTTTCACTAATCTCCTTCTTTTCTCTTTTTCTCTTCTTCTCTTTATTCATCTCTCTTTTCATTATCGCCCCATGGCTATTGTGCTTCAGTTTTGTTGTTTATGAATCTGAGTAAAAGGTGTACTGAATATCCAAATTAGAAGTGAGATGAGAGGATGAATGCATGTAAATTGTAGATGATATGTGTGAAATAAATGTTATCCATTTGACAATTAGTGGAGACGAGTATGGAATAATTAATAGTCTATGATTTGTTTTATTGGTATTTTGGTATGTAATCTATGATATTATATGGTTAATATTATTCTATTTATTCTTTTATTTATGTTTTTTAATAAAAAAATGAAAATGAAACATAATCGATGATAGTGGAGTGGGTGGCATATCAAGTGGTGTGGTGTTGGAATGATGATGACATTAACCATTTTTCATGTGGCGAGTGTAATGAGTATATCGGGCGCGTTTGGCATGAATCATTTGAGAGTTTTTAGTTTTTTGCTAAACGTTCCGTTTTAAACTGAAAACTTTATTTGGCATTATAAGCTTCTCCATTTAATTTAAACAAAACGCTTCAAATCCAAATGTTACTCAATGTATCGTGTAACAAAACGCTATCAGGTACAAGCTACCCCTCATATGCCCTTAGAATACGACACAATGTTTGCAATGGTGAGATGACTTTTGAAGCCAACTTGATGTTTTGATTCACTAGACTTAAAAGATTACAATTTGTAACTAGAAAAATGTTATTTGTGATTTAATATCAACTCATTTAAAATTTAATGTTAAAAGCGGATCACATTCCACTAATACATGTATCGTGGTGATATGCACACTTATATAAGATGAGTTTAATCTTCAACAACACGAATGCTGATATGGGTTTAAGCTAGAGGTGCACAAAGTAAACCGGTTTATTTTTTTAACTGGTCTAAAAAAAACCAAAATCGGTTTTTCTATAACAGGTTTAACTAAAAAGGAACAGTCACTTTGATATAGATTTTTATAAATAATGGAACCGGTTTTTATCATAACCGAACTGAACAGGTTTTTAATTGAAAAACAAAATTAACACAATTTCACTTCCAAAAAAACGAACCGATTATATAACATCCCTTGTTAGGGTCTAGTTGAAAACATAGTTAAGAAACATTTATGGAACTTTTCCACATAATTTCAAATTTTATTATTTCATGGAACTTTTCCACATAATTTCAATTTTATGTTTGCAGGAAAATCACTTTGGTCCGAATATAGTAAATTTATTCAAGTTTGAAAACTAAATTAGGTTGTTAACAATAGACATATCAACAAAAGTTCAAATTCCTCATAAATTGGGTCTTCTGAATGTCCCGCTCATCTATTTCCTCAACCCCTTCAATCTGAACAAATATCAAAAATAAGTTACGCATATGGGTTTGCCTAGTCAGTTACCCGATGTTGATTTATTTAGAGTAAGTGATGAAAATCCAACTTACTTGAATCAAACCTCTAAAAACAATAAAAAAACACATAGAACTGTAACACCCGATTCCCGGTATATATTCTAAATTTAAAAATTGTATGTTTTTACACTGGGACTCGGCGAGTTGGAGGCCCAACTCGTCGAGTAGACTAGACTTTTGACGCGGGTTTTAAGTGACCTACTCGACGAGTCGGGAGCCCAACTCTCGCGAGTAGGACTGTCTGGATGAAACACCTAATATTTCGGGTTTGCACCCTATTTAAGCACCTTAATCTTGTCCCAACCCAACCTCCATCGCCTCCCAAATCCATAAAAGCCCTACTCGAACCCTAATCATTTTATTGAGTGTTCTTGAGCTTTTTGGTGCCATTGTGTGTATTTGCAGTTTGAGAAGGAGAAGGAAGCTTGAGAGATTCAAGAGGAAGCAAGAAGATCCAGAAGTTTGGCACATTTCAAGCTCATTTGAGGTATAAAGTTGAAACCTGACCATCTATCTCTTAGATCTCTAGTTAGGGTTCATTTCTACCTTTTTTAAGCCTTAGAAGTGCCATTTTCGGGATTTTGTGGTTATAAAGGGGTATGACTTCAGATTTGGAACCATTAAGGGTTCCTATGGCATAAAGGTGCCAACTTTATTGCCATAAGAGCCCCCATGCATCTTGTAGACTCCATTTTATGGCCATTTGGGCCCAAATAACCCCATGCATGAATGTCAAGTTTGTAACTTTACGTGTATTATGGACCCTAGGAGGCCAGATCTACGTTTTCGATGTGTTAAACCCGACTAAAATCAACTGTATGGACGTGGACTTTGGGGGACTCGGCGAGTTGTTCTTGGGACTCGACGAGTCGGGGTATGGTTCCCCAAACCTTTTCTGCTGGATCGAACTAGTTGAGTCTAGAAGAGGACTCAACAAGATAGATGTGAAACTGGACCTGGAAATCATGGAACTCGGCGAGTTCAAGAACAGAACTCGGCGAGTCCAAGGCAACATCCCAAACATATGAAAATGAACTCGACGAGTTCAAGGATGAACTCGGCGAGTCAAGGACTAAAACCTTAACTCAGATGAAGATGAAATCGACGAGTTCAAGGATGAACTTGGCGAGTCAGTGTAGAATGTCCCGGACTTTGTTTTGAAGGCGAACTCGACGAGCCCTTGTAAGGCTCGGCGAATAGGATCGAGTCTTGGCGTTTTCATGATTTAGGAACTCGACGAGTTGTGGGCCAACTCGGCGAGTTGAGTCAACTGGATGTTGATTTGATCAAGGTGTTGACCTTGACTTTGACTTTGACAGGAAACTGGTAATTAAGGAAAGATTGCTATGTGTCGGATCTGATAGGGGTTGATTCCAGCAGCAAGGACAGTTTAGACACTTTACGACATCGAGGTGCGTTCCCTTCCAGTAGGATGGATCTACGGCACAATGCCGACCCACTAGTAGGATGTTTGTCGAGTAGTTGTCTTTGTGATAATTACTTAGGTCGCTGTCACTATCTGATGTGTTTTACATGCTAGTGTAGTAGTCTGCTGTTATTTGATAGTAGTAGTAAGGGGAATAGTCCCGGTTACGGTCGATAGGGCCGAAGGGGTAGTATAGTACCCAACTATGCTAGACAGTATGATTATATTATGTTATTATGTGGTAGTAATAGGGTGTGAATAGTCCACGTAACCGGTAAGATAAAAACCGAGGGGTAGGTCGGACCACCCCGGTATGTCTGACAGGGGTAGGTTTAGCACGGGTATGCCTAGCAGGGGTAGGTCGGGCACGGCCACCCAGATATGTCTGACAATATGTTTATAGTATGGTATGTGGTATGGTGGGGGAACTCACTAAGCTTCGTGCTTACAATTTTCAGTTTTGTTTCAGTACCTCTTCAGCGAAGGGGAAGGAGCCGGCAAGGGTAGCAGCACATCGCACACTTATGATTTCCGCATTTTAGATCCATGGGATTGTACTCTGACATTATTACTATTTCGTGTTATGGTTTTTGAGGACACTTGACTGAGGTTTATGAAATGATATGAATCGTGATGTTTTCCAGTACAATGTTTATAAGTTACTTAATTAAAAACAAAATTTTGGTCTTGAAAATTGGGATGTTACAAGAACACTTGGTTTAATAACTCATAAAAACCAAAGGGTCTTATACGCCCCACATATTAACTTCAAAGTTCAAATAATATTCTTCCAAAAGGTCTCAGAAGTCCTAAAAAAAACCCTAAAATAAAAGGGTAAACCATGGTATTATCATAAAATTATATGCAATGCATGCAAATACACCCTGTCCTTGTCAATCTCTAGTCTAACTCACAAAAAATTGCTGGTTGGATGTGAAGAGAACATGACAAGGACCTGTCAACTTTTGCACTATCGTCCATAAATTAGGCGCTAGGGGACATCATCCTACTCCACACAAGGAAGTAACATGCATAAAATTGTGCATGTGAGGATTATCTAGAATTATATCACTAAAAAATGTCTATTTGGGTACCTGCGCGATCGATAGTCATACCCATCATAGCAAGCAATATCATTAAGGGAAAACATTAATAAACCTTATATTCCCTAGAACTAATCTTCTCCAAGCTCTATGCTTATCAATTAACACCTAAATTATTATTAAGAGGTGTCAAAAAGACTATTATTACTCTTCTAGAATAGTTATAGAACTTAAGGGTCACCTAAAATTAACTATAAATAAGCCAACGTCTCAATAAGCGATCCATTAAGACATTGTATAAATTTTACGATATCAAATCATTCGTATGCTAAAAATTGAATGTATGCGAAAACCAACTGCATGATTTCGAATCTATATGCCAAAACTTATGGACAAAACGATTTGCATGCATGTATGTGCATTACACACATGTTTTGTAAGGTACGGACATGTTACACTCACTAAACTCCATGTTTGAGTTTCTTTCTTCATTAGACCATCATACTTTTCATATTTTCTTCTAGGTCATTTCCCAAACCTTTTGTTACCAATTATATGGGATCCCAAGCAAGTTTAAAGGATGTTTTATAATGCAACAAACATGTAATTATTCCATTAAGTCCCCATTATAACTATTAAACTCATAATATATATAAAGTTTTGAA